CCCAAGTCCATTTCTATCCGCCTCCATCTGTTTGTATATAAAGCCTGCTGAAGAGGGCAAAAAGAGTATGATCATACTACTGTTGTTTTCCTCGCAAAGATAACTGTTTCATTCTCAACTGCAGAAGCTCTTACACCTGGAAGGAAAGCGACTAGAACACTAGTTATTCTGCCTTTACAGCCGTTCCATATTAAAACGATGCCTTTCTTGCAGAGATCAAGAGTGCCAAAGCACCAAAATGGGGAAGCATGGGAAGCCAGAAGGAGATGCCTAAAAGTCTTAAAACCACTGCATGATATCCAGCAAAAGGGGAGGAAAAGTGGGGAAAGATATGGTGCTCTTGATGACTTTTTGCATAATCTTTTTTCCACAGAGTACTAAACAACTAAAAAGTTAAGGGCCATCTTCTAAATTGCCTTGACACCAAAAATTTCTGTTGACACCAGTGAGGAAGACGTTATGAACTGACAGTAGTACATGGCCACCATAACTTTGTAGCCATGACCCAAGGACCTAATTAAAGTGTACGTTGGTCCTCACCTCTGATCTTCTGGAGGACCTTTAAATATATACCTGAGTAGCTAGGACTTCCCTAACTGCTAGCTCAAACTTATTCTTTATTTTGAATCCCACACGTTAGCGTTGTGAGGTGTGGGTAAGTCTAACCTTACAAGTTTAGCAAACCAGTGGTAAGAACTTCTGATAAAAAAATACCAGTTTTGAAACCAACTATCTCTTGATGTTTGGAGCTATTTAGAGATTGATACAAGCGTCAGGGTACTTACTGTACAGTTTGAACCCAGCAATGTGCAACACAACTGAATTAAAAATAACTAGGGAAAGGTTGGAGCTGACTAATTTAACAGATGTTAAAATTGCTGGCATCTGGCAGTATATAGTACGTATCCACAGGTCAGCCAAGGTGGAAACTACTTCACGATACCCTGGAAAACGTTTGGCTTTCACTAGCTAGGCCTGAATTACATCAGTCTTTGGTATCTCCAGAACTAAATTTACTCTTTGCATTTTGTACTGTAGTTAACTGGAGACACAGATTTGATGGCCCAGACTCATGATATTTTCAGATAAGTATTGAACGGTGTAGCCCTTTCCTGAAAAAGCAGTCTTTATCCCCCCCCCATCAAATTGCTTAAAGCATAGTTTGTCATAAAGGTGGAATATATAAAAACTGTTAAAATGTTAGGTTTCAGAGTAGCAGCCGTGTTAGTCTGTATCCGCAAAAAGAAGAACAGGAGTACTTGTGGCACCTTAGAGACTAACAAATTTATTAGAGCATAAGCTTTCGTGGACTACAGCCTACTCCTACCTGTTTATGCTCTCTGTATGTGTGTATATATATCTCCTCAATATATGTTCCATTCTATATGCATCCGAAGAAGGGGGCT